CTCGTTATTTCACAAAATAAATACTTATTTAGGCATTATTTAAAACAGTTTGTCTAAATTGAGGAATAACTGAGACATATCTGTGAGACATTAAACGATCTATCTTATGTAAGAATATATATTCTTCTAGAATTGTGTGTGATGTGAAATATGACCGCCGGAGTAACTTCAATTTCTTTGAACGAGAACATACAACGAGTGATTGATGTCGACGATATCGAACGAATGTCAGGTAATAACGGAGAGGAGAGCGATATAAAAAGTGAAATCGATAGACTCATATACTGGATCTATTGCTTTTCAAGGCGTTCAGAATCTAAACCGCAGATCTTTTAATCCACGAGAAGATGAAGCATTAAATCATCCGTTTCTAAGTGAACCGTCTTGGCCGCGTGTCGATCGATCACCTCCTCATGAAAGACGATGCAGACAACAGCGACGAGGACGGCAACGACGATGGAAACTTAGTAATTGCTTTCGGTGTACATCGGCTGGGAGAGACGAGGCACATAACTCGCAAAAATAGCCGCCCGAGAAATCTCTGATATGTCCGAAAATACCGAGATCGGTTTTTATATGAATGAATAAGACACTCGCGCTTTTCAAAGAGAATCCTTACTTACTTACCTTATTATACCTAAAATACATATTTTGTTTTGTAAATGCTAATGTGTGCGTATACACGATAGACAGATATAATATTTCTATATAATATTTCTGAAATAACGCAATTTAGAAAAACATATTTTAGACTAAAGTTGCTCGCAGATTCAAAAAGGAACTTTTGAATCAATGCTTCTATCAATGAATGATGGAATATTTTTTCTTTTCTAAAAGACGCGATAAAGAGTATTTAAAAATTATTATTTTCTTAAAACAGAATGATTTATTACTAGATCTCGTTATTGGTATTATTATTTATTAATTTATAATTAACAGATAATTATCTGCTGTTATTAAAATTTCTTAATGTTTTTACACAAGCAATTTTAACTTTGCCTTGAACTTTCTCGACAGTACTATATATTCAATTTCTTTATTATACAATTACCACCACACACATAAGTGAGAGATATTACAGAGGATACGATATTAATCGAGTTGGAATTATATCTACTTTATAACATGTAATTATTTTATCGCAGGACATTCCCTCCTCGAGAGACGCACCACCCACGTACTCCTCGATATTCGCCGATTCGCTCTCGCACGAATTGACCTTCCCAACAAATGATCGATCGTTCGTCGTGGCGCGAATTCCACCACCCACCTATACCCAAGCGCAAGGAATCGGTCTCGTGGAACCCTCGTCAGTGGATCCATTCGTCTCTGTATCCCGTAAAACGATCTCGAGATACCTTCACGACCAGCTCTAAAAGATTGTTTTAAAGCGTCGACTTTCATTTGAGATACGATCGCATGTCTCGTTAAAGTTTCCCTAAGAAAATCTTATCGTTATAACTATCGACTAACTCGTATGAGTTTCAACAATTAAATGGTTCTTAAAATTGCGAAGTATTTTGACGAGATATAAAAAAGAGATAACTCTCTCTCTCTCTCTCACTTAGAATATTTTTTCCAGGGAATTCGGCAATTAACGATTAACTCGTGCACTAGTTAATTAAAAAATTACTTCAATACAATACAAATATTTAGTCCTGAAACGGCTAACGAGATGTATGATTGTGATCTAATTTTTTTTTCAGCAAACACCACAAGTGACTGGCCGCGAGTACCCGCGGCTGCTATTTGTCCCCAATGCTCGACGCTTATTATCACTGTCGTGGTGGTGCGTCGATCTACGATTACTCACCTTACCGCATTAACGCTCTTTTTGCTGGGGTACGTTTAACATGCGAAAGTGACAAGTGAAATTTCGCCTTATAATAAATCATAGCTTTTATAAAGATTGCACTTTCCATTACACAATTCTTTATCGGTAATTTAATCGTTTATTTAGATACTAATACTTTTTTTTGTCACTTGTTTAATTCTTAGTCCCCAACATTGCCAATTAATTAACGTCCAAATGTGCCTAGTGCTTGAAATAATTAACAAACCATTTCTTTTGATAAATATTATAAATAATATAATACACATTTAGCTTTATAACAAATATATTATATTGTTTACACATAATATAGTACAGCTATATAATAATAAATAATAATTTATGGCGTTCTTCTTATCGCAGGTGCTGGCCATGCTGCGTGATACCGTACTGCATGGATTCCTTTAACAATACGGACCATTACTGTCCTATCTGTCGCGCGTATCTCGGAACTTACACGCCGCGATAAATGAACGTCACGCGCGAAGCAATTTGGAGAGCGGTGTGTAGCGACTTTCTTGGTTTGAAAATATCTTACATATGCATCTCGCGTTCTTCCCATTATTCTTCATCTCGCGATAAAAAAGTGAGATGACGAAATAATATATTTATGCAAGCAAACTTTCCAAAAACTGCATCATGTTTAAGGTAATTGCTCTTATCTAACGATATGCAGCAATTATAATCAATTTAAGCGGCGAGAAAGTGAAGCACTTATCGCGACTCAGGGGACAAACACAATGCGTTATTCGGGGAGTCAATTAAATTTCTCGACTTTCTCTAAAACTCTTGTGTGTAGGTGGACGATTTAGCCCGCAGTCGGACATTTACAGTTTGCTGCATGGTATATAGACCGTGTAAACAGTATTTCTGGGTATATTTAACTTGACACCTTGGCTCCGTGGAAGTTAGTTGACGTCCCGTCAAGTGAAATACGCGATCGGCCTTCGAAAATCGTGGTTTTCGCATTTCAATTTTTCGAAGAAATTTATATAATAAAAGTTTAATAAGGAAACCGTAATTTACCTGCGATATTCGAAATTTCGTAGCACTTTTCGACTGTATAGAAACGCGCTGGGAATCTCAGAATGACCAAAGATTGGTCATTAATCGCGCTTCTGATGTGCTGCATCGTGTTTCGCGTTTACGTCGATGCCTGGAACAGTCGCGGCAGGCACAGAATCGCGGATAGAAGACGATTGTGGCAAATGAATGATAACGGACCTGCTCTTTCCGCCGCGGGGACGACGAAACGTAAATGGGAATTGTCAAAATTTCCGAACAATAATCGCACTCAAATCGCCAGGGAGAAAAGGCGTGAGTGTAACATAAATATCACAGCTTCAGAAAATCCAAAAGAAAGGGAAAATAATTCTTTTTACAGTGTTCTTATATTCAATATGATTTTGTGTCGTGTCAAAATTTGGAAAAATGATATTAAAGTTGTAAAAACGATCGATATATAAATAAATTTTTAAGACTATCAAAAGGCTACCTATCTTGGAGAAAATCGCATTCAGTGTTATAAAATTAATGAAGAACAACCGCTTCTCTTCTTTTTTTATCTTTAAAGAAGATTGTTTCTTTGTTGAGTTGTGTATTCGACAGCATGGTAAAGAGAGAAACATATTATGCAATTATTACGCACATTTGTTACATATAGTCCTCTCGCTGTTCACACTGGTGACATTCGACAACACCATCTGCGGCGGATTGAACGGGGAGAACGGCACGTGCGTCGCCGCGGCGGAATGCGCGCAACGCGGGGGTGTCGCCAGCGGTGTTTGCGCGAATGGTTACGGGGTCTGTTGCATAGGTAAATATATACATTCGTTCTCCAAATTTGAACATTTCGACACTGGCCGTTTTCACGATGAAATTTCTCAATTCACATTTTTACTCCGTTCCCTCCGTAGTCACGGTCTCCTGCGGCGGGATAACCGCCGACAACAACACACACTTTGTCAACCCGAATTATCCGTCCACCTTCGACGGCATGGACTCGTGTCAGGTGACACTGGTGAAATCGGATCCAGATGTATGCCAGTATCGGTACATATACATTATTAAGAATATTAAAACATTCGAATAACAATAAGTGTACAAATAATTAAAGAAATAAAAAGGGTGAGCTTTGAGAGTAAGTTAACGTTATAATAATTTTAATTACTAATAAGATACGTAATTATATTATATAAATCAGACGTTTTGGCTCTGCTTTGAGCCATTATCAGCGATAATAAGTTAAGTCAAAGTAAAAACTTCGACGATAATTGTTAATTAACTTCTTAAGTTATTTATTCATTCAAGAAATTTTATGAAGATATCACCTTGCTCAGCTTGTTTTCCTTTTTCGTAGATTGGACTTCGTACAGTTTAATATCAGGGGCCCGGAGACGACGAATAACGTCTGCACTTACGACCAATTCATCGTTTCCGGTGGCAATCCGGTGCCGATAATATGCGGTAACAATGACGGAAATCACAGTAAGTGGCAAAAAAGGAGAGAGAGAAAGAGAAGAATATTCACTTATATCTTTTCTTCGTCGATACTACTGTTTAAGTCGCGATTCGATTCTCTAAGCGAGCTAAATACTTTTTACAGTGTACATAGACACGGGAGTCGGCCAAACCAACCCGGTTACATTGACTTTCGTTACGAGCGGCAACTCCTTTTCGCGATCGTGGAAGGTTCGTATCTCGCAGATACGATGCAGCACGATATATCGAGCTGAGGAGGGCTGCCTTCAGTATTTCACCGGAGTCTCTGGCCAGATAAAGTCCTTCAATTACGATCCTACGACCGGGCTGCAATTGTCGAATCAAGATTACAGCATATGCATCAGGATGGAGAGGAACTTTTGCGGAATCCAATACATGGCGTGTCCTGACGATGGTAGACACTCTCTGTGTGTATATAGTGTAGAATAAAATAATAATAACTCTCCAACAATTTTTAACATATAGCTTTACTTTATTTGAATCTCTTTAGAGCTGGCAGTATCTAGTGCAATTTATTTTCAGCTCAAGGGATGATGATACCCCCCGCATTTGGTTCAGCGGGTCAAATAATGCGTAGCAACGCATTCACGCTGACAGGAAATACACAGGCCACACAGATCGTGTCGATGACAGGAACATCATGTATGACCGATTGGCTGTCGATACCGTGCGCCACGAATTTGGGTCGGCTACCCTCGTTGCCGATGATGTGTGTCGATCGATTGTGCGGCGGTACTTTTAACTCGGAAGCCCAGAACTTGAATGGGTCATCTGTTATCAGTGAGTACCTTTGTTGCTGATCCTGATCAGAAATCCATCTATTCTTTCATCATTGAATTATATTATTATTAAATTGTTTTTGGGCCTGTGTATGAAAATCAAATCGAAACGTAAAAATTGAAAATGACGGATCTAATGTAGGTGTAAGAAGTAAAATATTTTTGTTTAATTGCGATCATATTGTGTATTATAAAGTTTCTTGGATCACTGAATATGAAAATTATATCAATGTAAAATGCTTATAATGGCGGATTTAATGATAAATGAAAAAAGTAGAATATTTTCAAATTCTAATAAAGTTTGCATTGAGACGCTTTCAAGATGTTCTTATGCAAAATATGTATATATAAGTTCTATATAGGTATATATACATATATCCACTTCTTCAATTATTCTTTCAGGCACTGTAAAGCCGTTCAGATTAATTTTTCACACGGACAGCACCGAGGGACCCGGCGACGTTGGAAATAGAGGCTTCTGTCTTAATTACGTACAACAACCGTGCACGACGAAATTAAAATAGAGGC